TATTTATGTAACAATATCTCGAAAACTTGATGTGATACGGCTTCGGATTTAGTATAGCAGAATTTGTTGGCATGTATAATTAATTGTCTTATAAATACTTGTATCACGAAGAAATTCGACAAACATGTTTCATATAAACCTTAACCATTCTAATAAAATCCTTGAGAATCGGCAATAACGACCACCTTCTCATAGCAGGTGTAGGGTATTATATAGTCGGGCATAATAATTATATTTTCTTACTTGTTTTACTGCGCATTTATGAAAATTTTATAATAGTTTTGAATTTCAAACATAATTTACCTAAGAAAACACAGAGTAGTCTAAAAAACAAGTGCATATTGTACAAAAAGAACAAAAACAACTTTGTTATTTCTATTTAAAACGCCTACAAGTAATTGTAATAAAAATTTCCATTAAATTATTTATTCACTTCAATATAAAACACATACAATTCCAGCATTTATAATAAATGAGCATGAGACTTGATTAAATTTCATTAGAAACACAAAGAAGACGCAATTGAGTATGTAAATTTTTTAAAAGATTTTAGTTACAAAATTTATTTTGCTAAGAGATCAATATCTCGATCAATCAGTTCAGAAAAACTGATAAATAATAAAATATAATTTACCCTCTTTTTATAAAAAAATATTGTTAAAAAACCCTTTAGAAAAAACTCCAAAGAAAGTATGAAAATAATAAAGAACAAATTACAAATAGAATATATGTATGTATAGAATGCGGGTAGCCGCGAGTTATCCGATCTAAGGATAACAACAAAACAGGACAATAAACAACAATATTGTTGCAAAATCTTGTTATTGTCATCATGCGTTTATGCTTTATATGTACGTTCTTTCTTATGCTGGAATGTTTAGGAGATAAGCGAACAAATTACGTCCTTTACAATTTTATTATTGTTCTTTTTCTTTTTGTTCATTCAATATTTTATTCATGTTCAATCTTATCCTGATCGAATAAATTCGATTGGAAATTTTTTGAACGTGTTTACAACAATAGCTGTGTGTTTTGGTTTGTTAAATGTTGTAATTAAATTATTTATTTATTTATTTATTATTTTTTTTTAAATTTTGTTTTGAAAATTCAAAAGTGTACTTATGACACGTCCTTTTTGTTGGTATATTTGTTTTATTTTTAGTATTTTCTTTGGCTTATCGATTTTAAGGATTTTTTTTAAATTTTATTATTGAATAAAAATGACAGTACGCGTTTTGGAATAAATTTTAAAAGATGATAAAATAGATTAAAGGGATAAGGCATATATATATAGGAGTGTAACATTTTAATAGAAATGTTGCAGGGAATATTTTTTCAATATAAATGAAATAAGAAGTTAAAAAGAAGAGAATTAAAATGTATTATTATTTCTGGTTTAAAAAGAAACAGAGACAAAGGTATAATTTTCAAAATCAGAATCTAGGTTTTCGAGATATTGTGTCCTATATTTTGAATCACTCCCGTGTTTTACTATATTTAAGAAGTTCTAAGAAACTTATTGCGTCATCTGAAATTATAAATGTTAAACTTCTTTTATATCTTCTTCCTTTTTTGAGATATCTTAAACTTAAGTTTGAACTCAGATGTCGTGTCCTGTAGTTTAAAAAACACCATGTTGCCATAGTTTAGTCGCAAGATACACTTTTTTTAATCAAATTTATGATATCATCTGGAAGTCTATGCTGTCGACTCTGTAATATCTTCCAATGTCTAATAACTTAACCTTAAGTTTGAAACGACCTAATGTTTGAAACGACCTAATGTTTGAAAAAAATTCTCCATATTTAAGACGTTATAACACCTTTTATTTATAAAGTCTAATAAGACTGAAAGTCTAATAACTTTAGGACACGATATCTCGTTTCAAACTTAAGCCTAAGATATCTCAAACTAGGATGGAAGAATATATAAAAGAGGTTAGTTAACCTTTATTATAAAGTCGACAGTTTAGACTTTTGGGATGATGAACCACTGTTCAAAACTCCTTCTTTAAAAAATTGATTCCCACAATCTGAATCTCTGAATCTTGTGAACGTTCATACATATTATTTAATAACTTCCAATCAAAACATTATTAAAAAAACTATTGTTAAATAAATTTCGCAGAATAAACAATAAACCATATCTAAACAATAATGACAACAACAACAATTAACTCAACAATAAAATCAAAACAAAAGCCACGTGCTCAAAAAAACACCATTTAATGCACAGACGAGATCTAAAAAGTATAAAAAAAAACAAAACAAAAGTATAATTCGCGTGATCAGCAAAGGGACAAAAAAAACTTAAACAAAAGAAAACTTTAAGTTTGCTTTTCAAAAATCATTTATTTATTTAATGACGTCAACATATTGACATTCAAAACTTATTACTACAATAATAAAAAAAAGAAGTTCACAATGTTTACAAATTAAATCATAATTCCAAAAAAAATTACTAGGTAAAATTCTTAAAAAAGAAAGTGAAATGGTAAATTGACATTGAAAAATAAAAACTACAAACGATCAGCAGTTTTTTGAAGGCGGTAAAAGTAAATATGGAAAGTTCTTGAGTTATGAAATTGATAAAGTAGTAAATATGACATAAAAAGAAATTATAGAGAAATTTTTGGTGAAATAAAACAAAACAAAAAAATAAATATTGCACTTTAATGCAAACTCAACAAAAGTCACGGACAACGCCAGTTAGTTATATAGACAATCATAACAGAATTTTGCCAGGTAAGAACAAGATTAGGGGCAATAAAATATATTCTAAAGAATTGTTTTAATTGTTCCAAAACAATTTGTTAAACAAATTGACAATTTTAAGAAAATCAATAATAATAAGCGTATACTGAAATTGTTATAGGAATTGTAAGATCAAAACATTCTTACTTCTTCTTCTTTTAGGTTTAAGGGTTAATTCAAATTTTTTCGATGTCATCATAAATACGGGTCTTCATTTTTTGCTAAGTTTCATTTAAATCGGATGAAAACAAAATAATATTTCACTTTGGTTTCAAGAGAATTTCCCTATATCGCATAGCTTAAGTTTGATCTTCACAGTTTATGGGTTAACATTATACGATTTTACTAAAACTTCAGATATACATATGTTTCCTATTATCTTGAATTATATGTTCTTTAAAAGTTTTATAAAAAATGCTTAACAGTAAAGAATAAAGCCTTATGTTCAAAAATTTAAACAAAAAATAGTTTTCTCCGAAATCCTGAAAATTCAAATCGCATTTACCGTTAATATGTGAGAGATATCGACCTAATTTCTTTACTTTTTTATTCCCTTCTTTATTGTTTATAAGTCACATGGATATTTTCTTAAAATTTTGAAATGTGTTTCCAAATTGCTAAAAGTTTAAAACTGGATTTTTGAAACTGCCGCCTAAAGGGTTTCCCTTTTATGACTATACCCCAAGTAGGGTTACGCTATCTAATGAGAATAAAAACTCACATTTCAGTTGTGGTCCTATCGCGCTAAATTTTTCAAGAATGCATTTCTTTAAGTATAAGCCTAGGACCAGAAAGGGCAACTATTCGCAACTTCTATAAAATTACAGAATTTTGTATTTGGGACTCATATATACAGTCAGAAGGATTAAAATATGAAAATCTTGAAAACTGGTGGGTGATACGACTTTTTTATTTCCATATTCGGAATCAGCACACCAAATAATACTGGGATTAGTGAAAATTATGCAAAAAGTTTTTTCATCGTTGGCCTGTGTAATGTATAAAAGAATTAATTCTGAAATTAATTAAATAAAATAGATCAAAATTTATTATTAAACTTTATTGCAGGTCTTAGGTTGCACTTGTGGACTTTCCACGTTAAGATCTATATAATCTTAAAATTTAATATTGCGACGCTAACTAATGGATCGACAGGTTGGACTTCCAGATTTTTTTAAAAAAATAAAGGTGTCTTCGTTGTCGAACTTTAGGACACGATATCTCAAAAGTCTGAAATGATGGTGAAATTGTCGGGCCGGAATATAATTTGGTCACTAGGTTGAATATTTCTTGTTTTATAATACTTTTTTCTGATTTAATGAAAAAAAAAATTTATTTAATTTTTCTTCAATTGGTTCCAAAAATTGCTTCGAAACTAGTATGTTTTCCATTATGTTAGTGTGTAGTACCAATGCATAACTAACTAAGTAGTAACTAATAAGTAGTTCTTTGAAAAGAACTAGCGTTCTAGAAGTAAAGGCCAAATCACTAGTCCCATGGACCATGGATTTTTTCAAGAATCTGAAGTGATAAGATTTGCTTTTGTTTAGAACTTGTTTTTTAGAACAGATTTTTAATAAATTTCCTATTTTTGTAAAATTTCCGAAATATTTTTATTTTTTGATTTTTTCGAAAATTTTTAATAAATTTTCAGTTTTTCAAATACATATTTTTAGTTGAATAATTTTCGGTTTTTCTTCATGTTTTCATATCTTTATAAATTGTAAATTTTTTAAAATATTAAACAATATATGTATTTTTTTTTGTAAATTTTTGAAAAATTTTATATTTTTCCACTTTCTAGAAAATTATTTTCTAGAAAATTTTCCATAATTTTTTACATATTTTAGACAATGTTTTTTACAAAGTTTTAATATATATTTTCTATTTGTTATAAAATTATCAATAAATAAATTGAGTACAAATTAAATAATTCTTAACGCTGACAACAAAGTAAAGCTCGCTTTATAATGTTAAAAAACTACACTTCATTAAATTCAGTTTAAAAAAATTAGCAATTGTTGTTCTTACATTTATCGTCGTTTGCATTGTTTTACTAGAATATTGTTGTTGGTTGGTTGGTTGTGCTGCTGACGACGTTGATTGTTCACAGCAGTAGTGGTTGGTGAATTGCTAATAGCAGTAGTAGTAATAAGCAGTTGTTGTTGTAGTAGTAATAAATTGATTGAAAGTATAGGGGCTCCATAAAGATTTCGAATGTTCTGAAGTATTCAGTTGCAACGACAACAACCAACATCACATAACGCGTTTTAAAAGACACAGAAGTAGACATAGAAAAGTTTACGTAAAAAAATTAAAAATTAAAATAAATAGACCATTATGTCATGTTTAACAAGATCTTGGTAAAAAAAAATCCATATAAAAAATTTATTAAAAAAAAGTCTGGTATCCTCACGTCTAATGTAAACAAATTTTAAACGCGAAAGTTGAACGTTTCTTAAAGGGATTCAAATTGTTTTTTTTTTTTTTTTTTAATTTAACAACAAGTGTTATTTGATCTTTATAAACAGAAAAAGAATCATAAATAAACATAAATAATAAAGTGCTTTATAAAACAAAAAACTTGGAAATATACAGAAGCTTAAACAAATGTTTATGATCAATTCTTACATTAATTTTTATGGTGCTTGAAGTGATTTCAAATTAAAAAAAAAATAACGAAGAAAAAAAGTAATTATTATTTTCAAAAATCCAAAACCAGCAAGACAAGACCAGTCAGTCAATGGCTGATGTCTGTTGTTTGTAAATATTTGTCAACCATAGTCTAAATACTACTACTACTACTATTACTGGTGCCTTTGCTTGCATTGCTGCTGTTGGATTAATGTGGTTCCATTGACCGTTGTTTGTCTGCCTTGTTTCAGCTATGCTGCCTTGGATTATTAACTACCCTGTCTTGGTCTCACAACGAAATGGATCCAAAAAGTAATGTTCAATTTTATGTTATTGTTTACTTTACTTCTTTTTTTGTATTCCCCCTTCCCTTTTTACTCAAGCTTTTATTACTCACTGTTATGTTTTTGTCTGGTTTTAATGTAGGTTTCTTTTTAATATTTTTTATGCTTTCAAAGAGCAAAGTACATTTCTTTTTACGCGAGTGCCCTTTTCCAAGGATCGTATTTTTTAATTTTAGTTGTATTTTTGTTGTATTTATAATATCGTATTTCTTTTCATTGTAACTGTTTGTTTAGGCATGGGTATGTTGCCACTTGTTTCAAATTTTTATCACTTTTCTTTATTTGTCCAGCACAAACTATCAAGTGTCAAATGTATACACTGGGTTTTATATAAAATGAAATTGTCGTATATTCTTATTTTTATACCCACCATCAAAAATGCTGATTTTGTCACTCCGTTTGTAACACATCGAAATATTGGTCGTAGACCCACAAAAGTATATATATTCTGGGTCCTTATTAAATTCTAAGACGATCTAGCCATGTCCGTCCGTCTGTCTGTCTGTTGAAAGCACGATAGGGTTCGAACGGAAAGAGCTAGAGACATAAAATTTTTACAAATATTCCTTATAGGTAAGGTTTGTTTGGTATTGCAAATGGGCTATATCGGTCCACGATTTCGCATAGCCCCCCGAAAAACAGTCACAACCATTTTAAAAATTACGAGTATAACGATGAAATTCGATACAAAAATAAGTTTTATATGCGTCAAAATCTCTCTACCAAATTTTGTGAGGATCGGTCCATAATTGACCCTACCCCCCATATAAGGTCCCCTTCAAAAAATGACATTAATACTCATTACCGGCTTACAAATACTAATATAGCGATGAAATTCGACATAAAAAATACTCTGCCTTCAGAAAGCGACTTCATCACTCATTGCTGGCTTATAAATACGAGTACAGCGATAAAATTCCACATAAGTAATATTTATATAAGCCAAAATCTCTCCACCAAATTTTATGTGGATCGGTCCATAATTGACCATACCCCCCATATAAGGTCCCCTTCAGATAATGACTTTAACTCTCATTGCTTACTTAAAAATACGACTATAGCGATGAAATTCGACATAAATAAGTTTTATATGCGTCAAAATCTCTCTACCAAAATTTATGAGAATCTTTCCATAATTGACCCTACCCCACATATAAGGTCCTCTTCAGAAAATAAACGAATATAATAATGAAACTCTATATATAAGCCAGTATCGCTCTACCAAATTTGTAAGGATCGGTCCATAATTGATCCTACCCCCATATAAGGTTCCCTTTAGAAATTTACTTTAACGCTAATTACTGGCTTAGAAAACGATGAATTTTGACATAAACAAGTTTTGTTTTAATGAAAATCGCATTACAAAATATTATGAGGATCGGTCCACAATTGAACATACCCCTCATATACAAAGCCACCATGAGAAAATTTCAAGTTCTACATCGTTGTACTCGTCATAAAAAGATTTTTATTATAATTCTTCATTCCAAATTTTATGGGGATTGGTCTATAGCTGACCATAGCCGACAAAACATAATCTATGTACAAAATTTTTTGGGTATCGAATCATAATTATCCCTACCTCATAAAAGGTCCCCTTCATATAATTACTTTTACGCTTATGACTGAATGAAAAATACTAGAACAGCAATGAAATTCGAAACGAATAAGTGTTATACGACTCGAAATTTTTCTACCATATTCTACGACAAACAGTCCATACCTCCCATATATGTTCATAGTTAAAAATTGTTAAATGTTTTCGAAAATTAATATTTTGTTAATTCGTAGATCACGTAAATAATTGACTTAAGCCAGATCTCCCTGATGTTTACAGTAGAACATTCCTTTTGCGGCATAAGCTTTTATGGTGGGTATATAAGATTCGGAATAGCCGAATATAACACTCTTACTTGTTATGATTTGAATTTAAGCTTTATTCAGAACCATTTCCATTCGAGTGCTTTTAATCTCCACCTACTTCATAATGACATTTTACTTATAATAGTTTAGATACTTTGGATCTATAACGATCATTTTCATGGCAATGCATTTTCGATTTTTAATAAAACTAGATCACGCCGCCAAATTTTGAATTTGTATTCATATTTATAAAAAGGGAAAATTATCCATTAAAATTTTCTATTTTCTTGAAAATGTTTCGACTTTTTTACATATTTTAGAACATTTTTTTACAAAGTTCTTTTATAAAATTATCAATAAATTTTATAGAAATTTCCTTATAAATTTTCCATTTTATTAAAAAACAAAAAAATATATTATTTATAATAAATTTTATATTTATGTACATATATTAAAGTTTTGGATATACATATTTTCTTTTTTTCGCAAATTTTCGATAACTTTCTATTATAGAATTTTTTTTAAATATTTTCAACAAAATTTAAAAAAATATTCTCGTAATTTTTAAAATTTTCTTAGAAAATAGTTAATAAATTCGTTAAAAAAAAGCGTCCGATAATAATAAATATATAAGTGTTTCGACATTTTTCTTATTTTTTTAGGAATATACATTTTTTTATTAAAATTTTAGAAATTTTTTATAACTTTATATTTTATAGAAACTTTTGTATATTATATACAACAAAATCCTCTTTTAGGTGCTTACGAAATTTTAATAATATTTCTTCTTTTTATAAGAAAGTGTTCGATTATAATAAAAAATGTTTCAACCTAACAATAAATATATTAATATAATTATACAAAAAAGTTTTAACAAAAATATTTTGAACTGTTTTCGCTGAAATTTAGAATATTTAAGTAACTTGCGCAAAATTTGAAGAATCTAATTGTAATAGTATCCCAGATAAACGAAATTTTGTATTTAATTCATATGGGAGGTGCCAAGTCGACCCTCCTTTAAAAGTCCGCCCGTTATACTTTTAATGTTCAGATGAATGTCAAAGCTCTTCAAGTAAAATTTGAAGATTCTAGCTCTAATAGTATACGAGTTTTTCTATTTAATTCATATGGGGGCTCCAAGCCCCCCAGATGAAAGTCCGCTCCTTTTCCTCTAAAATGTTTAGATGAATATTAAAGTTCTTCGTGCAAAATTTAAAGAATATAGTTCTGTTAGTTTCCCAGATAAACGAATTATGGTATTTAATTAATATGAGAGGTGCCGCACCCCCCAAGGGTAGTCCGCCAATTTATTAGCCAAAATATTTACATGGATGTTAAAGGTATTCGTGCAAAATTTTAAGATTCTAAAAGTAATAGTTTGCAAAATAAACGAATTTTTGTATTTAACTTTTATGGAAGGTACCACACCCCCTAATGCTAGTCAGCCCACTTTTTGTCCTAAATAATCATACTGACACTAAAGTGGCTCCACAAAATTTGAGGACTCTAACTGTTATATTATCTCAAATATACGGATTTAATATTTATATAACCTCTTCCAGACATGCAGGAATACGCTGTGAAAATTTTAAGAAAATCGGTTCAGCCAGTTCAGTAGTCTATAAAGTTCAAACATACAAACAAATACACATTGTAGGTATATTAGATTAACAAGTGAATAAAACAAAAAGAAATCCGTCATGTAGGTATAATAGGTATCATGCTATTTACATATAAATGAAAATGTTTTGTGAAAAAATGCATATTCGATTCATTCTTTTTATTACAAAATTCGTTCTATTTACATATATACAGTGTCTCTCATAAGTATTCGAATTTAGGTAAACTATGAAAGGAAACCAAATTTAATAATATATTTTGTGTGGAAAATAAATAAATTAATTTGTTATATTGTCTAGATAGTCCTTAGTTTTGATATCACGCCCCTTAAAACTTGAAAACTTTACATTTACTTATATTAGTTGTGCTTTTTTTAAAAATAGTCCATGAAACTACTTCACAAAAGTATGCGAATTTTTCCTGTATTTCATATTTGATCATATTATACGATACAAAAATTTTAGAATCGCATGGTTTTATGCTTAATATTGTTTTAAGGGGTTGCTATCAACCGCATGGATATATTTTTGGCCCATTTGGCCCACAATTTTGGGGGATTTGTACCCTCTTTTCATGTAATATCATTAAAATGGCGATTTTTGGCTATATTTGTAATTTTTTCACCCTTTTTCCAGAGATAAAACCAAAATTTAATATTGGAATTTAATAGAACCCATAGGGTATCTAAAAATAATATTTTTTGTTATAAGGGTCTGTACTTAAAAGTTCCAAGATGTATTTTTGGTATCGTTTTTTAGTTTCTAATTGAATTATCTGGATCATAAGTCCCTTTTCGTACCTCTAGGGACGATATTTTCCGACAAAGTTGTCTAGTGTATATTGATGTACATATTGGCACTAATGTATTTTAAATTTTCAATATATTATAGCGGTATACAACCCCAAAACATGCCTTAACAAAACGTCATCCTATATAGTAGATTTCAGTTTTTACTACTCGTAACTTTCACGCTTATGTTGCCCGTTACAATAACACTGTAAGTCCTAAATTTTGGTTTTAATTTGATCATAGTAAATAATATTTAAACACATATCAACATTTTTGATGTGATCATAATGATATCGTGCCATGCAGCATGGAGGCCATTGGTATATAAAAATTATGATTTTACTATTTTGAATGGTGCTTCTTCGAGGCATGTTTTGGAGTTGTACACTTCCACAACACATTGAAAACTTAAAATGTATAAAAGCTGATATCTAAAAGAATATATACCAGAAAACTTTCCCGGAAAATAGTTGATCCTAGTATTATAAAAATGGACTTAAGTTCCAATATATTGAATTAGCGACAGAAAAATGATCCGAATAATTTATCTTGGAAAGTTTAAATACAGATTCTTGTAACAAAAAATATTATTTTTAGATACCCCAAGGGGTCTTTTAAGTCCCAATATCAAATTTTTGTTTTATCTCTGGAAAAAAGGAGAAAAATTTACAATTATGGCCAAAAATAGCCATTTT